ATACTTAATTTTGAATTTTTGATCAAAATTTCAAAATTAAGTATTTTTTCTCTTAAAATTTAAAATTATAAAATACACGTATACTAATATGGGGCATGGTCAGTTAAAAGGGGGCTTATGACATTTTTTGCAAAAATAGGCTAACTATACTAGCATATAAAGTAGACAATTCTCTATATAATTTGATGTTTAAAATATTAATTTACATAATAAAATTTTTGTCGATACCTACTTTTTTAAATGCTATATACGATTAGATGTAATCTAAAATTAGAATTTAATAATCCAGTTGTTGATTCTTGCTGCAGAGTCATAGAAAAGTGTTCATATGATTTGCTAATTTATATCAATCTAACAGATTATACTAATAATAAATTGGAGGTGTGGTGACTTAGTGAAGTGGTCTAGTTGTTACCCTCTCCAAGTGGCAGATCTAGAGTTCGAATCCCACAGTTGACAATTTTGAAAAATAGGCCTGTATTACAGTAACCTGTATATCATGATTGGATCTTGAATTGAGGATCTGTAACTCGAGTTGTACCAGTGAGTGATCCTGGAAGATCCGCTAGCATTTGTACAACTAGAAGAGAACCCTGGGAACTACAAAGGAATGCAAACCGGTTTAGGGCGGTGCAAACACTTAATAAATCTATAATCGCATAAATCTTGGGGATCGCCTTTACCATACAGGAAGCCTATTTGGGAAGTCCTGAGTTAGAAATAGCAGTGATCTCTGACAGTACTACATGAAGGTTGAATTCAAACCAGGATCCGAGATTGGAGAACTAAGTAATCAAGTCCCTTAGTGAGGGGACACACTAGCCGAACTGCCAGTTTCAGAGAAAAAGGTCATATGCTCTAAAAGTATGGACCAAGGGGAGAGTGTTTTTCAGGCACCTAAAGCCTGGGCAGACCAACTTATCTGGGTTGCCGGCTGGAAGTAAGGGAGGGACCGATAAAGAATCCGGGTAAGAAGATGACTGGAATGTGGGGTACTGGGGTTGTTGTGAACCTTACAAGGGCAGGAATACGTAATGAAAAACTAATTTGGAAGGTTGTGCTTGAGATACGAATGTGTTATGGCAGTACCCCAAAAGGTGGCTTGAGATACGAATACAATGATGGCAGACAATATGTACTAATTAGAAAGTAATTACCGAACGAGCATGCACTATCATGTGTAAGATATGTAATGCGATATCAGGTTTAACTTTAGGATAGATTAGCTAGAAATAGTTAGTAATAGTGTTCCACAGACCCGAACCGAAAACCTGGACCTGATCTGGACCCGGTCACGGTTCAGGTTCGGATTCATAATTTTTTGACCCAATCGGATCCGGGTCTTAACTGTGACCCACCCGGACCAACCCGGTAAGTAGAACGTAGCTAATTGGCTACTTTTTTGTATAAAACTCTTTTTTGCATAAAACTCTTTTTTTTTTTTACTAAATTAAATGCAGTGCTATTTTTTTCATCGTTACATTTATTTTTTAAAGTCATCTCTCTTTAATCAAACCTTTTGAATATACTGAACTTTAATTTTACCTTCTTTTTAATAAGTTCGGTATAAAATTAACTAAAAAAAAAAAATGTTCAATTCTTATAAAGAAAATTGGGATGAACCTTATAATGAACCTTGTGATGAATCTTGTGATAAACATTATAATGAACCTTGTAATAAACTTAATTATGAATCTTGCGATAAACTTTATAGTGAATCTCAAGAACCAACAGATGTAATTTGCATAGATGAACCCAATAATAATGAATCATCAAATAAAACAGCCATAGCTAATAGGTAATTTTCTTTATTCAAAAAGTTTAATATCAATTTTATCTCATATACTAATGTATCTGCTTATAGATCATTTGTATAGAATCATTTTAAAAAAACAAAAAAAAAAATACTAAAAGATTAGTCATACCAGTTGCGATATGTAAATATTGTAATGCAGTTTTAAAAATCCAAGAAGATGAATCAACTTCCAGTTTTCGAAAACATCTTATTCATCACCATAAAACCAAATTATCAGAATTAAAAGGATTGAAGAAATCTAATATAAAGCAGAAGGTCTCTATTTTGGATATGCTAAAAAACAAATCTGTAAGTTATTCAATATATAATGGCTATATCTAAGATAGTTAAATATAAGTAAAAATTTACTAGGTAAGTATAACTTATACTTACTTAATAAATTTTCGCTTATATCTAACTATCTAGGATATATAGTAGCTAATATACTTGCAGTATCTTTGATACTAATACTGTATATATTATAATTTCTAGACTGCAAATAATAATCGTAAATCTTTTAATCCTAAGAAATTTGCTAACTTTATAAAAGGATGAGTTATTAAGCATAATCGACCATTTCACATAATTGAAAATGATGGTCTTAAATCTATATATATAGTATATTATTTATATTCTGAATATACAGTATATATACTTAGTATTATAATTATAGTATTGAATATTTTTTATTTTATTTTTTTTTAGCACCGTTATCTGATTTAATAAGAAGGCACATTGTTAATAATTTTGAAAAAGAATATACACAACTTCAAAAAAAATTACAAAAAGTATCTGGGCGTATAGCAATTATGACTGATTTCTGGACTACTGATACTAATAACAAATCATTCATGGCAGTTACTATTCATTATATGGATGCATCATGGTCATTAAAATATCTTTTACTTGATTTTATCCATATGGATAGACGTTACACAGGTGTCGAAATCGCTAATACTATGGAAAGCTGTCTTAAATCAATGAAAATTCTTTCAAAAATAAGTGCTATTACACATAACAATGCAGCCTCCAATGATAAATTTTTACGAGATTTTTCCAATTCTATTTTATCAGCTGGTATTTACTTTGATAGTAAGCAACAATCAATACGATGTTTTGCACATATCTTAAACCTTGTAGTTCAAAGTATTTTTAAAAACATAGGGCATGAATTAGAAATGGTTATTTACTTTTATATATATATATATATATATTGTTATAGAACGAATTTATTATTAGTTTATTATTTTATTATTTATTAATTATCTTAGAATATTATTATT